AGAAGTCTGCTGACCCCTGACTTAGAAGGATTAACCAACGAGGACTCCACTGCCAGGGAGGCGAATTTGGGAAGTGCTATAGATTTCCAGACGTGAGATGTGGAGGGCGATGACCAAGGTCTGCTCTGAGTACCTAGTCAACGCCTCCCCTTTGCATGGAGAACTCTTTGAATTTGGAGAACTGCAGTGAAGGGATTTTCAAAACAACTGCAGGGTCCTGAGTTTGGGATCATCATTAGACACGAGGATGGTAGGACATTGCCGAGAGGGGCAGGAGGGAGTGAGGGAAGGGGATGCTGATGAGTTTGCTTCAAGAAGGCGTCTTAAGGGCAACTGAGATGTTCAGTTTCTGAGTCAAAATATAGCACTGAGGTGAATGTTGGAACTGCGAGGCAGTTGCGACCGGGCTGCCCGGGGACCTCAGCAGGGGGACAGCCCCCGAGAGCACCGGGAGGCAGCGCGGTTCAACTGCGTCACGGCTTCTACCCGCAGGGCCTAGAGCCGCCCGCCCGCTCTTTTTGGGGAGCTCCAGATGTGGGGACTCTCCGGAGAGGGAACTGTTTAGTTTCAGCTACTTCACAGCTTAACAGCAGCAAGATCCGTGACTGTCAAACAAGCTTGTTTTTTCCCCGAGCTTCTGTGACTTGAGAACTTGCCACCTGACACATGAACACACAAACAGCCATGAGGGCGACGGGAGGCATCCCCGCTGCTGCCTTTGGTCCAGCACAGCCTGCTTCCCCCGTTTTTCAGGAGATGCTGCATTGATGGATCATTTCTGGGGCAAGGTGCTTGGCAGAAAGGCCTAAAGGATGTAGAAAATGTAGTCAGTGCGCACACATCTGGCCCGTCTTTATCAGTCATAGGGAAAGTGGGTTTTTTTTTGGATCCAAGGCTTTGAAAACTAGGGCATCTTATTAGAGAGGGCCACAGGTGGTGGGGCATGGAAGGGACTCAGGAATGCACCAGAATTTCAAAATTCAAAAATAATTTTAAAGTGTAATTAAAACAGTAGGGCTTGTGTTTTTTCTTTTTATTTAAGTTTATAGATAGGAGAATATTTTATAAAGGGGGACAGTAGACTATGGGAGAAGACCTGGATTTGAGTCCCAACTTTGTTCATAATAAAGTTTGGTCATAATAACTTTGTGACCATGAGAAAGTGGCTGTATCTGTTTGTTCCCAGTTTCCTTCTCTGTTAGGTGGGAATGGCTGTCACTGGGAAGTAAGATAACACATAGGAAAGGGCTCTATAAATATATTGTTCAAATTGTAAGAATGAGAAAAGAATATGGGAGGTAGAGTTGCTATTAATTGCTCTTAGAGCTAAGAATGGTGGTGCGAGGCAGTGGTCTATTTCTTTCTGTTCGTTATCTCATCCAGTCTTCATGGTCATCCGTTTGATGCAAGTGGTACTACATTTTCCCTGTTTTACAGATGAGGAAATTTAAGAGATTTGAAGCAACTTGCTTAAAGAGGTTACGCAATGAGCCTAACGTATGATGTGGCCTTGCTGGCCTTACACACCGGGCTCCTATAGGTACAGAGCATAGAACTAGATGGGGAGGGGGCGGGAGATAAATAAGATACAGTTCTTGCCCTCCAGAGGGCATCCATCCAGGAGGGACAGAAAGACCAGAATGCCTGCTCCTTGGGGTGGGTAGGGTGACTTCTTTCTTGTTTTTAAAATTCTCTTAGAGCAGAGTGCCTGGCACCCTGAACGCTCATCTGTTGTTCGTTGAACCAATCAGTGGACATAAATAATTTTCATAGACCACAGAGACAAATAAATGCTCAACGAAGGTGAACACAAAGGGAGTGGTGGCCTGCGCAGATGAGGGAAATCTGAGAGTTCAGATTTGGGGGCTACGTGGGGGAATGCCTGGCTCCTCCTGGGGTGAGCCCGGGGAAGGGGCCGTCCCCTCCCAGCGTCCCTGTCTGCTCGCCCTTGGCTTCTCCTCACCCGTCCTTACCCTTTCTCTCGGAAGTGGCCTGGGACTAAAAATCAGCCTGGCCAGCAGCAGAAGAGCTTTGCAGACGAGATTAAAAGCAAATCAAAGAAGAAAAATTGTGGCTTGGTTTATGTCTTCCTAATTAAAACCCCGCCAGTCTCCCTTCTTTTTCTTTCCAGCTAATGTTACACTAACGAGCTGAGTTTAGTGGCATTTATGTAGATAAAAGTCCCAATGATTGATCTCAATGGCTTGTTAAAATTAGTTTCAGTCCACCATATTGATTTAATTCCATTGCTTGAAAGTGCTAATTAATAATGATAATAAAAGTGTCTCGGCCCATTATTATCAGTGGGCAGGCGGTGGAGGGGTGGTGGAGTCGGGGGGAGAATTGCTGTCTTTAGTGTCACTTACTCTGTCGAGGGGTGGCCTTTTGAAAGCTGTCAGAGAGGACAGGAGGCTGGTGGTGGGGGCAGAAGCACGTGCTTCTGTCTCTTTCTGGTAGATTCCTCCTGGTGAGGCTAGAGAGGCTGCTGGGAGGGGCCAGAGCTCCCCGGAGGATGCTCGGGTCCTGGGTGAGCCCTGGGTGAGCCCTGGGTCTTGCTTGTTCTCTAAGCCTCTTGGCTCCCTGCCGAGCTGGGGGTGCTAGTTGCCTGCTGGTTCTTGAAGGAGGTCAAGGGTTCAGACTTTAGACTGTTCCAGAGGGTGATGAAGCTGAAGGGGACAGGGTCAGAGGGTCATTGTTTTGCATACTGGTGAGCAGCTTCCAGGGATGTGAGCTGGGAACCTCAGCCACGCAGACCCCGAGTTGCAGGGAGCCCAAGATGGGAGGGAGGGATCTGGGGCAAAGAGGTCACTGGAGGATGAGTTTGTGGTTGGGGTGGGGAGAAGGGATTTAGAGAGCAAGGAGAGAAAGGGTCCAGGGAAGTAAAGTCAAGACTGTAGAGTTAGCAGTCTCTCCTAAATGAATGAATGCGTTTGGCATAAAAGAAGTGTGCTCTCCTGAGATAAAACCCCGTGCCCCTGGGAAGGGTTCTGCCAGCCACTCCGGGCAATAAGGGCTCGGGGTGAGGGAAGGGTAGTGCCAGGAATGAAAACAGCGCCTGGAGAAACGAGCAGATATTTTAAGACAACGGTAATGGCCTTCCCAGCACTGATGGGAAGACATGGGGTGGGGGCAAGGGGGAAATGGCTCTGCATTTGGCCAGCCCTGCCTGCAACCCAAACCTTCCTGATTCGCTGCAGACCACCTACTGGACCTCAGTCTCTCTCCCCCCCTGCCGCCTCTCCCCAACAAAGACTGCATCGCATAGAAGCCCAAGTTCCATTAACAACATATGATGTTCCTGTTTGAGCAGTTGGAGGCCTGTCATTCCTCCTCTGTTGAACTTTATGACCATCAGTGGTTCATGGTTTGTACTTTGAGAGCCAAGAAAGGAGTGGAAAGAGCTTTTCAGTCCCTGGGGATGTGGTGGGGAAAGTGGGATGAGAGAGATAACAGGTCAGAGACCTGCAGCCTCTGGAGGGGAGGGGCCAGGGACCCACGGAATCAGCGGAGAGAGCCAGCAACCGGGGGACCAAGAAATGACCTTAATTCCGAGGCAGGTTCTGGATCAGCTGGTAGCTACCCCTTCTCTGGGCTGGGCTACTGGGTAGGAATTAATGCGCTTAAGGAAGAAGTCTGTAAGGAATGCAGCTGTTGGGTCTGGCCATTCTAAGCATCATCGTCTTGAACGTAATATCCAAAGATCCACCTGAGGGAGATGGATGTATGTCCCTGGAGGTGTTCTGTGTCAAAAGACCTTAGGAAACACCCTCCTCACCCCCAGAAAGATTAATTGAAAGCTCACACTATAGAATATATGAGAGCAAACCATATATGATTTACTCTAGAGTTAACTCAGGCATAATTATATGCAATAATTACATGGTGTAGTTCTGATATTAATTACAATCCATCCTCATTAAGGAATTAACCAAACTGTGTGTGGCTGCCGGGGGCGGGGGGGGGAGGAGGGGAGAGTTTTCATTATGATTTACTCTCTATTTTTCTTTTTCCAGATTATGCTTTTTTTTTTTTTTTTCCCTCCTGCGTTTTGTGTTATGCTTGTTCCCCTAGCGGTTTGGGTTGGGACACTGTGTTTCTTCTATTGAAGTCCTTATTAGTAACCAGAGAAAGTCGTGTGTCTCTGTGATGCAATTCCTCCAGGTTCACTTAAGACTCTTTATCAGGGACACTCTTAAGGAAGGATGCTTCCTCCAATGCGATCAGCCACATGACAACTGCTAGCTTTGCTTTCTGTGGGATTTCGATTTGAGTGATCCTGGCTTTCTGTTTCTCACTGTCTCCTCCTTGCCTTCTGCCCCTGTATTCAGCCTAGCACCCCTCCCTATGATAGGGCGAAGGGGGTTGAGCTCAACTCATTTTGGGGGAAGAGGAACTTCCAGATTGCTTCCAAGCTTAGAATAGATTGTCTTTGGAAAAAACGTGGGGGTCCATATGCCTCCTAGTAACACAGCTCGGCATCCTCCCCGCTTCAGCTCAGGATGGTGACTGTTAGCTAGTACGTACACTGTGCTTGGATGGGGTAACAACGCACTTGGCTGAAATGGGGATGCTGTGGGGATCTTAAAATTAATTTTTCCACTTCTCTGTCTTTAGGTAGAAGCCATTATTTATGTTTTCCAGGGTCTGGAAATCCCAGTGGGATGATGGAGAACATGAAGCATTCTGTCATCTCCCGGTACCCTCTACTGTTCCTTTCCACTTTGCTGCATCATCTTTCCCTTTTCCTCTTATGTTTTTCACTTTTGCCCTCTTTTTGCACAATCCTCGCTTACACATCCTCGCTGAGGCTGGCATGGGAATGGTCGGGTGGTCCACACGCAGCCCACGTGCAGAACGAGGTTGTCCATATGCAGCAGGGCTGGGGCTGGGGGACATTAACCAGGAGGATGGGATGCGTGCTGCAGTGGGTTGGGTGCTTTCTTGTTGTGACTTCTGACCTAAGGAAAGGCAGACTCACTTGTCCCTCTTGGCAAGGTTCGGGCGGCAGCTGGGGACGAAGTGGTTTCCAGTTGTAATTTTGAAATAGCCCGTCATGGGTTCTCCAGTCAGTGGGGTAGGACACAGAGCAAGGTGTTCCAGCTGAGAGCTCAGTTTGTAAGTTGACTGGCCTCAAGCCTGGAAGTTGAGACTCTCTGACCATACGCGGTTGAGGACACGGTGGAGGGAGTCTGGTCCTGTTCTCGCCGGCTTTAGGCGCCTTTCAATCCTCAGTGGGCACATAGATGGTCATGGGGCGGGGAGGGGAGAGGGAATTCACAGAGAGAGAATAACTTAGACATCTCATCCAATTTGGTTCATAAACGTGAAAACTGAACTTGTCACCGGATCCATGGAGTAGTAAATCCTGGCTGGAAAACTGGAAGCAGAGAAGGCGGTCAGAGCTCGATGGTCCTCAAGTAGAGTCAGAGGTGAGGAGCTGGCTGTGGGCGTGAGGCAGGACAGCCCAAGAGAGTCCAGAGTGGAGTGGATGGGGCACACAGCTACCCAGTGGGCTCAGGCTGGGCTGATGGCATAGGGGTAAGCATCCTCTTAGACCAGGGTTCTTGGCCATTGAAACCGTTGGACTTGTGTAGTGAATCAGGCTCAAGTCCCAGTGCAGGGTGACTGCAGCTCAGGGGGCTTAGGGAGACCCTGGTGTGGTTGGACGTGGAGGGGAATCCAGACAGGGGTGGGGCCTGGAGCTGCCCTCCAGACTCCCTGGAGCCTGTGGGGTACATCTCTTCCCAACTCCAAGTCCAGTGGCGTTGTATGCCAGAAGGTCATTAGCTGGAAATCAACCAGGGTGAGAGTCTGTACGCCGCAGAAAGCAGCAAAGGCCACACCCCAGGGCTCTTCGCCCTGGAGCGCTGGTCCTGAGTGTTTACCTACCAGAAGGAGAAGCTCTTTTATGCCTCCCTAGTGTCAGGGGAGTGGGTATCATTGTGAGCTTGATTCTGTGCAGTTAGCTCTACAAATGCACAACTGGAGGCATGTCTGAGTCCGCTTGAGGAGCTGGGAGGGGGAGAAGCCGGAGAAGGAGAGACGAGGGGCTGGCACCAGATCTGACAGCTGCAAAGGCTGTCACCCGAGGTGGTGCTAATGAAGGCTGCTGAAAGTAACCGTCAGCAACCCTGCTTTTAGCATCTTGGCCAATCGCCTCACTCTCGGTGTGGCGTGTGGGCACCGGCACACGCTGCTGGGTAGTGAAAATGGATACAGGCCTGTTGAAAAACAAATTGGCACCATGCACGGGAACTTAAAACACGCATGCCCTTTGACCCAGTAATTCTCCTTCTGGGAATCTGTCCTAAGACATTAATCCTGAACACATTCTCATTGTTTTGGAAAATCTACAGTGCAAAAAGATGTTAGTTGCAGCTTTATTTAGGTTACCAAAAGGTTGAAATGAATCTAAATGTCTAACCAGAGCAGAATGGTTAAGTCATTTAGGGTGTATCAGTAGATTTTTATGCACTGATTTAGAAGGAGATGAAGAAAGTTTATGAACAATATGGAAATGCTGATGATAAGCAGAGTACAAAGCTGGACAGCAGCATTTTTCCAAAGTGTCTTTTTTGGGAATATGACCCCTGTCTCACATATACTGGGGAAATGCTTGGTACCCTATGTTCCTCTCAGGACCTCCCTGTGCATGTCAACACTGAAGGTTCGGAGAAGTTCTGTGGTTTAACCTACTGCCTCTTGAACTTATTTCACCCCGGAGTCCTTTATCCAACCAACATCTCTTACCATCCTCAAGCAGTAGAGCACTACAGAGCAGGTTTGAGACATCATGACACTCTGAATGGTTATAATTCCATCAAAGTGGCCATCAGGATACAGAGGAAGAAAAGAAAGGAAACAAACGACAAAATGCATGTCGGGACCAGGGATAGGAATGAGTGTGAAAGAGTTTTAAAAATCTTCTTTGTGTGTGTGTGTGTGTGTCTTTGCCAGAAAACCTTTAATATGCATATATTTTATTAAAGAATTGGATAAAAGCCTCTCTCCAAGCAAGTTTGTGTCTTTCTGCAGTTTATAACATGTAAGATTCAGAACTGATGCATCCTGACTAGTGGATAAAATGTCCGTATAATCCAGTAGGATATTTGATAAATAAAGAGTCTCACGGCCGGCATTTATTATAGCACGGTGACAACGTGAGAGTACGAATGTGGATTTGAAATCAATGTAGCTCATCACAAGTAAAAAGAAACAATCTTAAAAAAAACACAAGTGAACACCTACCTAATAGTTAAAGGTGTGCAAGGCACAATTAGAGCACTTTCCACGTATTAACTTATTTAATCTTCACAGCAACTCCACGAAGTAGGTAGTACGCTCATCCCCATTTTACAGATAAGCAAACTGAGCCATGGAGAGGTTCAGTGGCTTGCCTGCGGTTCCAAGCCTTCTGTCTCCAGAAACCGGATTCTTTCTCAGTACCCAGAGCTGCCTCCTGCTGAGGGACCAGTGAGGACACTGTATCTGCAGACAGGATTTCACGGCTGCTGATTGAACTTAGCCACAAAACCATTCCTGCTGTGAGAGCGATGGGGCCCTTTCCTCTTCGGTTGGCAAGCTGGGACCACACCAGCCGTTCACTTCCTCTGGCCGCCTCCTCTGGGATGTGAAGGTCAGACAAGAGGAGGAGGGGGAGCACGAATCTCCAGTTCTGGTCCCCACGGGCCTGGAAGCTGGCCTGGCTCCTGTAGCTCTTCCTGTGGACTCTGGGAAGGACCCCGTGTCTTCCTTCTCACACATCTTCCATTCCATCCACTTTATTTTTCAAATTTTCTTTAAAAGGGTGTTAGGATGTGATTGTATGTCTCTCTGTGCTGATGTTTTTGGACCAGATTCCACCCATAGATGGGTTGAACAGAGAGAAGCCCATATTGACTTAAGTTTAGAGACCGGTTTCAGATGGTTGAGATGCCCAGAGGCAGAGGGATGGGCTGAATGCCCTTTCAAGGTCACTTCCATTCTCCGTATCCTGGGGACTTTTGGATCCCAGGTCTTTGGGGAATCTGGCTGACCAGAGTTGCCACCTAGAATCCAGTGTTGTCCTGCCTGGATGGGTGAGACAGAGGGGATGAAACAGGAGAAAAGAACCCTGTTCTGCACAGATTTTAGAGTCAGCCATTCCAAGGAGACACATTTGGGGTTGGTGCATCCATGCCCTTTTCTCCTTAGATGACTGGAGAGGACCAGCGGGGCATTGTTCTCTCAGAGTAGAAGCCTCTCATTGGCTCGAAGCCCATTGCTAAATCAGTGTGGCCCCGCCCATCCCTTTCTCACCCTTTCTATGATTTCTTCCATGTTTCCCTTTAGCTGATCAGCGCCAAACGGAATGCAGTGCCCAGCTGGGGCTGGGTCCAGATTCTCTTGGGATGGCTGCTTGCTAGACTGGTGTTGTTTCATCCATATTGTCTCATCCTACCCTCATATTTACTGTCCTCAACGGATGCATACCTCCCAGCGGGCGTGGTCCGCCCCCAGCAGAGCAGCAGACCTTTCCTGACCGCTCACATTCACTCTGCAGGTGCTGCTCTTTTCCGGGGAGATTTTATTCTCTCATCCTTTTCCCCGTTTTTGAATTCTCCCCCACTTACTTGATGGTATCATTTTTCCCCCTTTCTCATAGGTTTAAAATTTTACGATGATGACTCCTGAACTTCATTTGATCTGTTTTGAACCAAGTACCCAGTTTGTCAAATCAAACTTTGGATTAATTTAAAATTTGTCCCCTATTTCTGGCTCCTGGACCATTGATGACTTTGATAAAGACCGTTTGGAAAAGGGTCTTCCCTAGAGCAAAACTTCTCTGCAGGCAGAACTTTGTCTAGATTGTTGGCTTGACAAGAAAAACGGGACCAATAGCATGATGACCCCAAATGACTCTCTTCCCTGTAAGCAGAGTGGGTGAGACAGAGGGAGACTGAGGCACACAGACGTGAGAGAGAGGGGAAGACAGCCTTGCACAGAGTCTTTCTTGAATGGACCCTTGAATGAAACCCAGGCCTTTGGTGCTCAATCTGCAATTTTCTTGGGTTTGCTTAAATAAGTCAGCCCAAGATTCTCAGAGAGTTGGGAGAAATGGCCAATAGCAGAGTAGCTAGAGCGTGCTGCAAAGAAATTGTGTGGTCCCCATTACGGTTAGGAACAATAATAACAATTATGATAATGATGATGGTGATGCCGCTGATGGTAATGACGGCTGCGATGACAATCTAATGATCAGACAGCAGCCCCGACTAAGCCTGTCTTCCCCCAGTAAGCAGGAATCTGTTTCCTTTTACTGTTGGAAGCAGGTCTCCCACTGGCTGCATTGCCCGTGACCCCAGGCTCCCTAAGCCACCAGGGCCGGGAGGGACAGGTCAGGGAAGGCTGGCCAACAGGCTTTTGGCCGGTAGAGGGGAGGCAAGTCATTTCCAGTCCCGTTAGTCTTGACTGAAAACAAAGTGAGGGTCCCCGAGTTCTCCTATAAACGGTAATGATAACACAATTATCATGCAAAACAAAAATTAAGTTTAATGGTGCAAAGCCAGGGTGTACTGGGGAGGTAATTCATATTAATTATGTTTGGATTAAAAGCTTATTTCTTTTGTTAGCATCTGCAAGTAGAAACTTAGCTGTTAGGGGGAAAAAATCCCGCATATAATTACGGCCTTTTCTGGAGGAGCAGAGTGTTGGACTTAATGGAGCGTCCCTGTTCTCTTCAGGCTCCCGGAGAACGGTAATATTTCACATTTTATGAAACACAGAAGAAATAAATTACAGGTTTAATGATAAGAACTACTTGGGCTCATAATGAAATCTGATTGGCCAGTTAATCCACTGAGACCCTCAGATGTGAACCATCCAAAAGGGGCAAAAATGATGAAAAATGAAATTAAATGGAAAAAGCTTCACCCGCAGCCTCTTTCGTGGAGGCTGGGGAAGCAAAGAGCACGAGGGAAGCCCTGGGGCCTAAGGGGAAAAATCACCATCCTGGGGTCGGGGGGAAGTGGAAGGAGTGGGGGAGTTTCCCTCCTGCCTCTGGTGATTCCTACAGAAACAGAGCCAGGAGGCTTCCGGCAGGAGGAGGAGGAGACCAGAGGGAGGAAGGCGATTTCTCCTGGTGGAAAGCTCCCAGGCCCCCAGCCCCGCCTTAAACAAGAAAAAGGCAGAATGAAGGCTAATTGGAGTCGGCTGAATTGATAACACTTTTTCACACCCAGGAAATATTTTGCTCAGGGAGGAAGGTCAAGGTCTCTCGTTCCAAGTTCAGGGGGTTAAGTTCTTCTGGGCTTGAGGTGTGTTCCCATGAGGCACTTGACACAAAGCTTTCCCACTGGGCCAGCCTGGTCTCTGCCCCGCCTTGGGGGACAGACCCACTTGCGTGGGGTCGAGCTCTGTGAAGGCTTTTAATTATGTTCTGAGAGGCAGC